GATGATACTGTCTGCGCGCGTAGGACTTGTTATGAGATTTGTGAGCTACACGTGTCGTTGGCAGTGCCGGCGTGTGAGCTATGGAGTTCCGTCCCCCGGTTGGACTACTCATCCCTGGACGCGGGTTAGTGTTCGGAAATCCTGCGTACCAGCTAACAATCCCCCAGTTGGATTGTCTCCCCGGTACATTAGTATGGAGAGGAGTATATATTATATTAAAGTTCTAGCTATATATATATATATATTTATGTATGGGTATTTACGGGTTGATGAGAGTTGCATATCTTTGGGGAAATGAGTTGTGGATTTGAGATGTGGAGATGTTTTGGACTTTGGGATTTTGTGTTTGAGTTATTGGTTTTCTGAATTGTGAAATTGCATGCTAGAGCATTATTTTTACATGGTGGGGTTACTATGTTGATTTAAAGTGAAACTTTCTTTCTGTCCACTCACATATTTCTGTTTTGTGCCCCCCAGACAGTAGTTGCTTTTGGAGGCATTCGAGTAAGTCACGAGCTCCGAACTTGTCGTCAGTTGTTATGGTTTGTATAAATTCTTTCTACTCCCCTGTTTGTTGTAAACAAATTCTGTAGACGCTCTGTTATCGCCCATGTTAGGCTACGACTTGAGGCCGGAGGCCATTTTATGTTGGATTGTTGTATGTTAAAAGCATGCTGGCAGTTTGGATATATTATGATGTAAATTATGCAGGTTGAATATTGTTGGGTTTGAGCACTTTACAGGGGAGACTCTGCCAAAATTTTGGTAGGATGTCTTGGATTTCTAGTAAGTGGGCCCGGCATCAGTGTGATGTCGGCACCAAGACGGGATCCGCCTCGGGTTCAGGGGAAATTCTGGGGCGGGTCCTGTCACTTTCGGAGAAATTTTTTGAAGATTCGACAGCTCGAGCTTTGTTCCGGACTTGTGGTAAAGTGAAAATGAGTCATCTGGCAAGAGTATTTTTGGAATGCAAACAACTGACTGATGAAGATCATATCTCTAAA